AACAAAGGGCGCCGTCCCGGCCGCGCCTCCGCACGGGCCGCCCGAGGCTTCGTGGCGCCTTGGCCCGGCTGGAGGTCCGCAGCCGCCCCGGCGGGCCCGGCACTGCTTGCAGCCGCACGGCCGGGTGCCCGCTCCGGGGAGCAGCCCTCGGGGCCGGGCGGGGGCGGTCCGGCCGGCCAGGCCGCCTGGCCAGGCGCCCCGTCGCGGAGCCTCCCGGGACGGGAGGGAGCGCCCCCGGAGACCCCCGCGGCCTCCGGGCCGCGTGCAAGGCGCCGGCGCTGACCGCCGCCCGACGTTGCAGGTCTCTGCGGCCCCGGACCCGGTTCTTGCGGAGGCGCTGCGGGATGGCGGAGGGGGCTCGGGCGCGGCCGGACGCGCCGCCGGAGGATCGGAAGCGGGGCTCCCCGCAGGGTGAGGCGCCCCCTTCTCTCCCGCCCCGCGGTCGGGCGTAGGCACCCGTGCACGGGGGCGAAGAGCGCGGCTCTCGGGGTGCCCTTGAGTCGCCCCCTGGACGGCACGGATTTCCCCGGGCGCTGAGGTGGGGGGGCAGCCGGGGGTCGGGGTTAGCCGCGGGTGCGTCGGTTGCGGACAGACCCCCGGCTCTGGGAAACGCGCCGGTCACGTTGAAGCTGAGGCCGCCCACCTGGCATGGCTGAGGAGGCTGGTGGGTGGGGAAGGCCTTCAGGGACCGCCAGCAGGGCCCCGACGAGCGGTGGGGGGCTGCCGGTGGGCTGCCTCAGCCTCATGTGGTCCTGCCACGTGAGGACAGTTCTGGGCAGTGCCCCCCATGACGGAAACGGCAAGCAACGGGACTGGGGCTGGGGCCTTCCCCAGCAGGAAAGGTGACCATCTCTGGGGCAACCGGTGCAGAAAATGGCGAATGAGGGCAGGCCCAATCCAGGGGTGTCAGAAGAAGCACGACTTGTTCTTCTCTCGTAACACTGGAGCTTCTGGTCAGCCAGAGACAAGCCGAGGGAGGGATGCCTCTGAGCAGCACTGTGAAACAATGGCAGTTTTCCTGTGTTGGTATTCTCCAGACGCATTCAGTTTCAAGTCCCATCAGCCCCATTCAGTTTGGCCAATGGACTGAAATGCTGGGAGCTGTAGTCCACAACGGACGGCGAATGCCTGGCGGGCAAGGCCGGAGCATTGTAATTTGCTGCTGCTCGTAGCGAATTATAGGCTGCAATGACTTGGGCAACGTTAAGAAAATGAGTTAAAATAGCCAGGGGGGCTTCCAGCCCTGGTGACTCCGCTGGGATGAGCCACATGTTATGCCCACCATGGGGGTGCTCTTGCACGCACGCCAGTTTGTGGCTTCCCTGTGGAGCAGATGTGGGGTGAAAGAACTTTTAGTCCAGCCCCACAGACCGTTAAGTTCGTCCTTACAAAATGTTTAACTTTGCTGCTGAAAATTTAAATCCTGGCCATCCTTGCTCAGCAGGCCTGCACATTAAGCGCCCCCTCTCAGGTGGTCCTCCGGCTGCACCCGGAATGCCCCCTGTGGAGCCCCCGTGTCGCTGGCTCCGCTGCCGCGCTGCTCCGCCAGTCAGGGCGTGCTTCCCGGTGTCCAGCCGGAGCCCGGCTTCCTGGACCTTCAGCCCGTTGTTCCGTGTCCCACGCTCTGGGGCGACCGAGAGGCCACCCTGGCCCTCCTCTCTGGGGCGGCCTGCCAAGGCCGTGCAGGTGCTCCGCTGACCCCCCCGTCTTCCCTTCTCGAAGCTAAACATGCCTGCCTCTCTCCATCTCTGCTCAGGGGGCTCCTTTTGAAGAATTCCCTTTAGGGCACGATTTTTGGCAGGGCAGAGCAGGGGTCCTGACTGGGTTGCGCTCAGGTTCCACCCGGCAAAACTGCGGCCTGCCCATGGACTGGCTCGCGGGGAACGGTGGAACAGGGTCATGCCACACACTGGTTCTGTGGTCATGAGGCGCTTCACCCGTTTCCTGTCACTTCCCTTCTTACAAAGGCTGCCGGCGTAGGAGCCCTTGCGCCCCGAGGGCTCCTCGTTTGCAGAGAGGCGGCACGGAGGCCTCGGAGCCGCTTTCCGCGAGCCAAGGGCCAGGATGTGTGGCGGGCGAAAGCGGATTTGCAGGAAGCACGGAAAATCGCCGCTGCTCATTCCGGAAGAGGCCGCTTGTCCGCCACGAGCCGGCTTGGGCCCCGCGGGCTGACCCTGCTCTTGGTCTCAGCAGGCTCCGCTGAAGCAGGGCCCTTCTGCCTCCTGGAACAGGAGGCGGCAGCGGAGGAAGAGGAGCGTGGCTGCAACATGGAGGCGGACGTGGACCTCTGGGGACCTGCCTGGGGGAAAGAGGCTGCCGCTGCTGGTCTTCCCATCCAAGACAAGCCCGGCAAGGATGCTGCCAACATCGCAGGTGCAGTCCCTGGGCGCCGCCTCGGCGGCCGGGGGGCAAGGTGGGGTGGACCGGCCGGCGCGGCCAGGGAAGGGGTGAGCTGCCCCGCCTCCTCGGTGTGGTGAGCAGGGCTGTGGAATGTGGGCCCTGCCTGGCTGCCGGGGTGCAAGGAAGCAGACCGGGACGGGAGGAGGCTGCCCAGCCGGCAGCACCGGCCTGGTGGGTGGGCCTGGTGCACTGGGGCAGCTGGACCAGCCGCCCCTGCCTGGACATGACCCCAGCCACTGGCTGGGCAGCTGCCCCCCGGCAGCCCAAAATCCCTGCTGGGGCAAGTTCCCCGGCTGCTCTTGCTTTCCCAAGTTCAGCCGCAGAGAGAGCGAGAGCGAGTGAGCGGGGCCGAATGGCCCTTCTCCCTTCCATGAGGCGGCGGGGGGGGGGGATGCAGCCAGGACTTGCTCGGGGCAGCCTTTTGGGGGGGTGCAGGGGTGCCATTCCTAGGGAAGAAGTGCTGCAGAGGCCCCAAAGGCCACGCCAGTCCAGAGCACGAGCCCTGGTGAACCCACCTCCGTCACCTTGTTCTCCAGGCCGGGCGGGCGCAGAAGGGGCAGCCGCTCCTCCGCCACAGGGCCCCGCAGAGCCCGCCGGGGCCTGGCAGGGCCTGTGCAGCTGGCCGTGCTGGCGCCAGCGGGCCTTGGAGCATCTGGAGCAGGCAGCCGAGAGCCCCGCGCGGATCGCTCAGGTGAGAAGGCAGCGCGGCAGGTGGACGGAGGCGGGAGCGCGCGAGCAGTCCTGCCCCGCTCAGCCTTCGCAGGCACCTGTGGGGACGCGCGAAGACAAAGCCGCCAGGGCGTGCGCGCTGCTCTCCCCCCTTGGCCCGGTTCCCGCAGCTTACAGCCCCCCCCCAGCCGCCACCCCACAGGCCCCAGCACAGCCGCCAGCGGTTTGCCTCAGGGATGGGGAAAGCTGCCGGAGGGGCCCTGGAAGGGGCCGCAGGGTGGGGGGGGCCGGCTCTGCGCTCGCGTCACCTTCTTCCCTCCATCGCCGTGCCCCCCATGGCAGCAGGGGCTGCTCCTGCCGTGAGGGTGCGGCCAGCCCCCCCCCCCCGGGCTGGTCGCCCACGTTCTCTGCCCTTGCGGAGGCCTCTGCGGGGGGAGGCCCGGCCCCCCTTGCCATGGGGCTGAGCGGGTGGGCTTCCTTCCAGGTGGCGTTTGAGGACGTGGCGGTCTACTTCTCGCCAGAGGAGTGGGCAGAGCTGACGCTGTGGCAGAGGGACCTGTACTGGGCCGTGATGAAGGCCAGCCACGAGCTGGTTGCCTCGCTGGGTGAGTCCCCCCGGGAGCCTCCTGCGCCCGCTGCGTGTTGCCTGCCCCCGGGGCTGGTCGCAGGACAGCCCGGCCCCTCCGCGTCCACGGCCCAGCCCTGCCCTGCCCTGCCCTGCTCTGCTGGGGTGGACAGGCCAAGTCGTGGCCGGAGGGCCCAAGCCCCAGGGAGAGGCTGGGGCAGACCCTTCCCTCCCCTCCCGCGGATGCCACCGCAGCTCCCCCTTCCCTGCCGCTCTCGCCTGCGCTCTCCCGCCTCTCCTCGCCCACCCGCTGGTGCCCAGCCTTGGCAGCGCCTCTGGCCCGCCTGGGACGGGGGCTGCCCCCTCCTGCCTGTGCGGCAGCGGCCTTCAGCGGCTCCGGCAAATTGGCTGAGCGCACCTGTGCCTGGGTTTCGATGGATGCCCCTCGCAGGGGAGGTGGGGGAAAGTGGCCGGGAATGGCTGCAGCGGGGCGGGGGGGACGCAATTGCTCCTCACTGGATGCAGCCAACGGGCGTGCTGCCAAGCCCCCCCCCGTGCTCTCCGCCTGCTCTCAAAGTGGCCATGCCTTGTCCTGACGCAGAGAAGCACCTTGAAAGAGGCATGCCTGCTGCGCTTCCGAGTCCCACCGGCCCGGGGCCTGTCACCACTGCCGTTTGTGCAGCCGAGGCCTCGGCTCCCATTCTTGGGGGGGCTGAGAAGTGCCGGCCGCTGCAGGCCCTCCTGAGGCGGGGGGGGGGCGAGGGAGTGGCCCCCAGGGCAGCCACGCAGGTGTGGGCGGGAGGAGCCCTCCCATTCCCCCTTGGCACTGGCAGCGGTGACTTGCGCTTCCCCTCCCCGCAGGCTCTGGGACTCGCCTGCAACCGGAGGCTCAGGCCGGGCCAGGAGGGCAGCCGGGTGGCCGAGCCCAGCCAGGGCGAGCGGGGCCGGATGCTTGCGGCCCCCCGGCTGCAGGTGAGTGGCGCCCACTGTGTTCCGGGGGTCAGTGGCCGTCAGCCCTCGCCAGGCGCCCCGGGCTGCTTGGACGGATCCCCCTGCTGCGGCCAGGGAGCCGCCTCTTGGGAACACCGCCCCCCAGACCCTCACAGTGGCTGGGAGACCCCCGAGGCCCCTTCCGAGTCTGCGCACGCTCTGCGGCCCCCCGGGGGGAGGCAGAGTCGTCTGGCAGGAAGCCCCATCCTGGGGCTCTGAGCGCCGGCTCTCGCATGCTGCTCCCAGCGGGCTGTTGCCGGGCGGCCTTGACCGGGCCTCGCGTAACCCCTGGGGCTGCGGGGCAGAGGAGCAGCGTGGAGGCACGGCTGTGCCGGCTCGCGCCGAGGCCCTTGAGGCGGCGCTCCCGACTTACCTACGGGAAATCCCGACCCTCGGGCCCGAAAGGGGGGTGCTGCCGCAGCCGTGGGCAGGGAGCCTGGTCCTTGGGGCCGCATGGAGCCGGCTTTCCGGCCCGAGCCCGGCTTGGGGGTGGGAGAGGCAGAGCGCCGGGGCCGGGGCCCACGCTCAGGTGGGGAATTGGCAGGCCGGCGGGGCAGCCGGCCGACCCCTGCTGTGCCCTTCCGCAGAGGCTGCGCCCTGTGTCGAGCGAGAGGAGAGGCCGCGGGCCCCGCCGGAGGAGCTGCGAGACGCGCCTGCCCGCGGCCGCCGGGACTGTGGCCGTGGCTCCCCCGAGCGGGACTCTCTGCCCCCCCACGAGCCGTGCGCCCACCCCGGCCAGCGAGCCCTGCCGAGCCCGCAGGGCGGGGAGGTCTTCGGCGGCCCCAGCGCTCTCGCGGCCCACCGGAGTGGCCGCCCCCCGCCCCCGGGCTTCACCTGCATGGACTGCCAGAGCCATTTCGTCTACGCGGAGCCGGAGGCGAGCCGGATTCATGCGCAGCTGGCCCTGGGGAAGCTCTTCCGGTGCCTCGGCTGCAGCTGCAGGGTGGCCCTGCTGGTGGGCCAGGAGCCGGGTATGCTGCAGGCGTCCCTCCCCTTCGGGCCGCTGGACGCCCTGTACTACAGGTGAGGAGCCCTCGGGGTGGCATGGGGCCCCCACCTGTCCCCCATAGGTGCAGGACCAGGCACCTCCACTCCCTCACATTCCAGGCGCAGGCCCTGATGGGGAGACCCTGGCCGGACCGTGCAGAACCGCCGGTCCTGGCCTGTGCTGACCGCACGGGGCTGGGGGGCTGGGCAGGGGCCCACCAGGGACCGGGCTGCTTCCCAGCTTCGCCTCCAGGAGCACGGGCTCGTCTGTTGCCACCTTGAGAGGGGGCATCAAGTTCGTTAATCGATTTAGATTTCCTAGATGCTTTTCACAAAAGAGGCTCAGAAAAACAGGAAAGCAGAGAACAATTTTAAAAATGCAAGCTCCTCTTCAAACAACTCAGGCTTCCATGAGCAACCCTGAGCTGTTCAGCCGATTCCTATGATGGAGCCCTTCCGGTAGCACCAAAGCCCCGGGAGCCCAGCCGTCAGGCTCGGCCCCGGGCCAAAGCCCCCACCGGGGTCCCGACCTGGTCCTCGTTTCCTCCACCACACGGGTGGCTTCCCCCACTCTCAAAGCCGGAAATCCTTCCCTAAGCATCAGCAAGTAGTTAGGAAGCCTTTAACGACCTGCCTGGTTTGCCCCGGAAGCGTGTCCAGAATCGGCCGTGGTCCTCAGGCTGTGGGGGGCTTGTCCCCCCGGAAAGGCACCGGGGTGGCGCCGGGCGTCTCGCCAAGGAGCGCTCCGCAGCCAGGCGGCTCCCGCGGAAGAGGTCCTTGTCTTGCCGCCGCCAAGCCTTCCTCGGGGGGGGATGCCAATGGCAGGTGCCTGCTGCCTTTGCGCGAAGGGTCCTGGGTCCTCCCCCCGGATCCTGCCTCACCGCCGCCCCCCTTGCCCCCCGCAGCCACCAGGAGGCCCTGGAGCAGGTGCGGCAGCGGGCCGCTCACTGGACCACCCGGGAGACCGAGGCCTTCGTGGAGCTGTGGGGGGACGACCGGGTCCAGACGGCTCTTTACGACAACTACCGGAACGAGGCGCAGTACAGGCGCCTGTCAGACAAGATGGGGAAGATGGGCTTCCATCGCAACCTGGAGCAGTGCCGGCAGCGAGCCAAAGACCTGCGGCGCGGGTTCAAGGAGATCAACGGTGGCGACCTGCTCTCCAACCGGGCGCGCCAGGCCATGCCGTTCTTCTCCCTCTTGGACCGCTTCCTGCTGATGAGGCGGGGGCTGGTCGTGCCCAGGGTGTGCGCCGGCCGGGCCAGGCAGAGGGGCTGGAAGGAGGAGCCCCCCGGCCAGCCCCCGCTGGCACTCGTGCTTCCCCCAACGGGCCCCGACTTGCGCCAGCAGCCTTTCCCGGGCCAGGAGCCCCGTGTCCGCGTGGCGGGACTCCCCAGCTGCCGCAGTCGGAGAAGCCAGCGAAGCGGCAGCAGCCAGGGCCCGGCCCTTCCTGGCTACCGGCTCCCCTCGTCTGCCCAGGCCGCGGGGGGTCCGTGCTTCCTCCTGGAGGGGCCGGATGAAAGTCCCCACCACAGCCCCCACCCCCTGGAGCTCGCCGACCTCGCGCTGCCAGGGCAGGACCGAGAGGCCTCCCCGGCCGAGGAACCCGGCGGGGCACCCGGGCACGGCAAGCACCGGGACGTGGCGCTGGCCCCTGTGAACGGGCGCTTGGTTGCGGGCAACTTCTGGACGGAAATCCCCAGCCCCGTCCCTGCACAGCGGCCCGCCGGCACGGCAGCGCAGGGGAGCGCGCAGAGTAAGTGCGGCTTGAGCGTGTGCAGTGGACGGCTCCGTGCCGTTTCCGGTCCACCCAAGAGCCGAGGTTCCCTGTGTGGATCACAAACAGTTCACACACCGAGTGCCAGGCGCACTGCCACAGCCACGCAATTCAAATAGGCTGAACACGGCCCAACGTGGCGCGTGACGGCAGCCGTGCTCACCTCGAAGTAGCTCTCCAGAGACGAGAGGGGAAGGGCTTTGCTGCTGAGGGATGGGGCATAGCGCAGGCACTGGGCGCCCCCCCGGGGGGGGGGGGGCAAGAAGGCCCGGAAGGGGCTGCAGCAAGCCCCCCGGCCTCCCCTGCCGGGGGCGGGCTTCCTGGGAGGCCCTGGGTCCCAGCGGCTCCTCAGAGGAGACGTTGCAGCGGGACTGCCAAGCCCGAGCCGTGGGAGGCCTGTGGGCTCGGAGTGAGCGCAGCTGCCCAGCGTGGCCGGGACCGGCCTGGCCCGCTGCAGCAGGGTCATGATGCAGTGGCCCTGCCCTGAACCAGCGGCAGCTCTGAGCCGCCCCGGGAGGTCACTGGCACCTGCTCATCCCTGGCCGGGCAGGCCTGTGGCCACAGCAGGCGCCCCCCTCGGGGCTGACTGGCGGCTCCCGGCCATCGAGGGCAGCTGGGCCTTGAGGGGTGGCGAGGGAGCCAGGAGCAGATCTCTGGGGGCGGGGGGGGGGCCCTTAGGCAAACCACCTGTAAGCAGCCCGTCGAGCTCGCCTCGGCCGGACGTCAGCTGTTTGGCCCGCTGCCCTGCTCCAGCGGCAAGAGCATGTGCCCCACCTCGTCTGGGTTCGATGACAGAGCCAGAGCTGGGGCCCCGGTGTGTCGATGGCGCGCGAGCCCACATCCCCAGCGGTTCCGTCTGGGCATCGAGGGGTGGGGGCAGGGGAACCTCGTGGAGCCACGGGTCCCATTGCTCCGGAAGTGGGCGTCCCAGGCACCCATCCTGCGCGCAGCTGGCTTGCCACTGTGTATGGACCTCGGCTGCTATCCGGCAGGGCTTTTCTTACTCTTCCCATGAAATGGTGGCCCCAAATCCCAGCCCAGGCCACTGCTCTGGAACACCACCAGGGTGGAGGATGGCGAAAGCCGCCGTGAAGCCCGGGAGAACAGGGCCCTGGCCCCACCTCTGTCGGCCAAGGCCTCCCCGGATCGCGGCAGGGTGCTTTCCACCCCCGGATCAGGCCTCAGGCCAGGTCGCAGCGGGCTGCAGCGGTTTCCACGTATCATGCGCCACTCCTTCCCAGAATTTCCAGGGCCGTTGACAGAGATGCCCATTAGCACACGATTCCACTCTGAAGTGCGTCTTCCTTCTGCCCCCAGCATGGCGCCCGGGAAAGGCCCCGAGCTCCTCTGCGAGGCGAATGCGAGACCTCCGGCTGCGCCGCAGGAGGCAGCGCGCGGCCGTGGCACGCGTGCTGCTGGGGACCAGCTACCGCCCCAGCGACCGGACGGTGTGGAGCAAGACGCAGGAGACGGACTGGTGGGACAACCTGGCGGCCGGCCAGCGCGACGACGCGGAGTGGGTGCGCTGCTTCCGCATGTCCCGGGCGGCCGTGCTGGACCTGGCCGAGCGGCTGCGGCCGGTGCTGCGGCGCGAGGACACGAACATGCGTGCCGCCATCCCGGTGGAGAAGCGGGTCGCCCTCACGCTGTGGAAGCTGGCCTCCGCGGACAGCTACCGCTCCGTGGCCCGCCGGTTCGGCGTGGGCGTGTCCACCGCCTCCGTCATCGTCATGGAGGTGTGCGAGGCCATCCGCGCCGTGCTGCTGCGGCACGTCGTCCGGCTCGGAGACGCGCAGGCCGTCATGGAGGGCTTCGCCCGGGCGGGCTTCCCGAACTGCATCGGGGCGGCGGACGAGACCCACATCCCCATCCTGTGCTCGCCCCACGGCGCTTCCGCCTACGTCAGCGGGAAGGGGCTGGTCTCCATGGTGCTGCAGGCGCTGGTGGACAGCGCCGGCCGGTTCACGGACGTCTACGCGGGCTGGTCCGGCGGGATGCGGGCCGCCGGGCTGCCCTGGGGCTCGCCCCTCTTCGAGCAGATGGAGAGAGGGGCCTTCGGGCCCCAGACCACCACCGAGATCGGCGGGGTCCCCATGGGCCCCGTCCTGCTGGGCGGCCCCGCCTGCCCGCTGCGGCCGTGGCTGATGACGCCGTTCCCGGCGGCCCGCACCCGGCGCCAGGAGCGCTTCAACGCGCGGCTGCGCAGGTGCCACGCGCCCGCGGCCCACGCCTTCGGGAGGCTGAAGGGCCGCTGGCGGTGCCTCCTCAAGCGCCTGGACGTGGCGGAGCGGAACGTCCCGCTGGTGGTCGTGGCGTGCTGCGTCCTGCACAACCTCTGCGAGCGCCGGGGCGAGGCCATGCAGGGCGGCTGGGAGGAGGGCCTGGAGCGGGCCGCCCCGGGGGGCCCCGCGGGCGGCTGCCCCGGCCCGGAGGAGGCGGGGGCGGCACACGCCGTCCGGGAGGCCTACTGCACTTTCTTTGAGGAGAGGCCGGAGGAGGAGGAGGAGCAGCAGTGAGGGGGCAAGGGACCGCCCCCTCCCCGCACGATGGCATGGGCGGGGGGCCAGGGCCAACTCAGGTACAACCCCTTCTGTGGCGGGGAGCCCTGGCAGTGCCCACACCTCCGCGGAGCCCACCCTGCCCCGGTCCCACTGCCTGACTTTTGCACACCTTTTCTACGATCTGCACAGCTTGAGGCTGCAGTTTTCACCCTGAACCTCAATAAATCCGTTTCCTCTGAAGGGAGCGACAGTGTCTCCGTGGAGCTGCTCTTCTGGCTGGCCCCGGCCGGCAGGCGCAGAATCCCGCCTCCAGTCAGGTGGGAGGCTGAAGCCCAGAGAGAAGCCAGACCTGCCAGCACGGGGGGGGGGGGGGGGGGGGGGGCTCGGGACCAGTCCGGGCGAGGCCATTTCTGAGCTGCAGCAGCAAGCGGACAACTGCCGCTCCAAGAGTGGCCCCTGGCGTGACAGGAGCCCTGCCCAGCTTTCCCTGGCCCTGTGCCCATTTGGGCACGGGCCTTTGGGGAAGACATGCTGGCGGGGGGCAGCTGCTGCCCCCCCGGTGTGGGCCCGGCCTGGCCCATGCGCTGCAGCTGCCCCAGTGTTCTGAGCGGCCGCCTGTGCAGAGCGATGGTCCCCCAGGCAGGCCAGAGGCCTCCCTCTGCACCTGTGGCCCGCTGGACTCTCCACGGCAGGGGAGTGCGCGGTCCAGGGCAGAGAAGCGCACGTGCACCCCTGCTAGTACCGTGTTCCTTTTAGCAACCCTGTTGCCCTGCAGGTAATGCCGAGACTGAATCGGTGCCTCAGCCCGACAGGGCAGAGGGTCTGCAGCACACGCATCGCTCCACGTTGCGGAATGTGTTTTGGCGGACGCTACTTGGCTCCGGCAGAGGCATGGGGGATTACGGGACATGGAGTCAGGCCTGGGGAGGACTGCAGAGCAGGAATCCAGGTTGAAAATGTACTGTCGGTGCCACCCCCCCCCCTTACCCGCTGGGGTCATCTGCACGGCTGCCGACGCCTCCACTCACGGCGACAGTCCACAGGTGCCAGACACGTCCACGCGTGTGCTGCCCCCTTGACCTCCCCCCTCTCCGCCCCTTGCTGCACACGGACCAGCGCGGCGAGTGCCGGGGGTCCTGGGCGTACTGCTGCGCTGGCCGATGCCCTGGGTGGCGCGCTGGCCGGGTGTGCTGGCAGCAAGGGGGCATCCCATGGAAGGGATGCCCCACTTTAACAGAAGAGTGTTGGCGCACCGCTCGCCGACACGGACATTCCCGCGTTGCGTGCCACGTCCTTCGCGGGGGGCGTGCAGTGCAGGAAAGGCGGCAGAAGCAGCAGCTGCACAGGCTCCCCCAACACCGGCATGACGGCTGCATGGGAAAACACCGGGACGGGGCTGTTTTGAAGACGTTCCGACTATGGTAAAAAGGTAGCCGGCCCTACAGAAACACGGGGGGGGGG